GTTTTACAATACCTCTGGAGGCCCAGGTCCCACTGTAGGCTGTTTTCTTCCTGCCTTTGGACAAGCCGAAATTAACTGGTAATAACACACAATTAAAAGCGCATGTGCGTGTCTGTGATTGTGTGTGTGTCTTTGCTCTAATTCCTCTCATTCTGTGCATTTTAACTTTCAAAATTAGACAGCAGTGAAGAGGAGACAGACAGGTATACATAGCAGCCACATCAAACTCTTCGTGGGGCAGGGGGAACATTTGACACCTCCTTGTTCCAGTGCCCCCTGTCTGTTTTTAATTTCACTAAATCGCTCCCGTCTGGGGATTGTATATTTTCAGTGGCCTCTCCCAGCAATGCAGAGGTAGAGCATTAGTGTGCCAAACCCCAGCTATGCTCAAGTGTGGGGCTGCAACTTTATAGGAGAGCCGGCACACGAGGCAAGAGGGGAGTCAGCTCTCGGGACCAGCCATTAGCTGAACTCAACTTTCATTTGAAAGCAATGCCAAAGGATCTCTCTTTCCCTTTTCCCTTTAGAGCTGTCTTATGAGGGAAGGGGTAGGCAACCTGGGCAGCAAATTGGTCAATGGACATTTTGCATCCCTGCTTTCGAAGCGCAATTATGGGCTGTGTTTCTGAAAGGTCCCTCATTAGCAAGGGGATACTGAATAGGAGTTGCTGCTCGGGGAAAGAAGGATTTTGTTGGCTTGGGAAGGTTTGCCTGATGGTGAGAGTCAAGTGGGATCTGGTCCTAGGCACCTCCAGGGACAAGGTGTGGTTTGGAAAGGCAATTTGAGGAGGATTTCCCTGGACAGCTGTAGGCAAAGGGGAGCATGGGCTCCTGTCCCATGCCACTGAGAGCAGAGGAAGTTTGGCTGCTGGTTATGTTGGGAGAGAAGCTCAGGTCCAGCACTGAAAGCATGGGTAATCTTAGGAGGAGTCACCCAATAACAGGGAAAGTGTGTGATGACGTAACAGTAAATAGGGGAAAAAGAAGAGCTTCTCAGTCACCTGCCCAAGGCTGAACATCTCTGTCACAGGACACAGACCTGAAACCCTCCTCCTGCAAGCATCGCACACCAGCACTGAATAATGAGGAGGAATTTCAGTCAGTTATGCCTGAAGAGAAACTCATTCCCACAGGCAAAGCCATTCCCCTGCTATTAGTTTGCACAGCTCCTGGACACCCCTCTGCCTGCACATGGGACAAAGCCGGGGGGAAGCACTGAGCGCTGGGTGTACAGATGTTTGGGGTGCCGGGGGGTCGCAGAGCTCTGCCTCAGGGAGCAAGGGGGCTGAAATGTTTCTTGGGATAGAGCCAGCCGAGGGACACCATGAACTCCTCTGGCCTGCTGGAGCTGCTCTTGTGAGAACCAGGATTTGGCCTCAGTACAGCCGGGAAGCAGAGGTGGTGACAGGGTGCGTTGGGAAATGGCACCATGCTGTTGCATGGCCCTGAGGACGCAATCAGTGATTTGCTTGCAGCCTAGTGAGACAATGACAATACCTGAGCCTGCTCCGCTACAGCTCCAGTGCACGAAAGCCCACTTTTTTAAGATCTGAAGGATTTCTTTTTTTTCCCTTCCCTGCCCTCACTGAGCTCTCTGTGAATTGAGCATTACAGTGGCTTTGACTGTAACCATTATAATCATTTTCCAGTGCTAATGTTGTGGTTTTAATGAAAGGAAACAGCAAATGGGGTATCGACTCATATACACAAATCTGCACTTCATTTGCACAAAATAGCTTCTGGATGGCTTTCCTCCATGTTTTTGGTCAACACCACTCTTTTTGAGAAATGATCAATGTCTACAACTGTTTGCTCTTCCACAGATAAAGCAGATGCTATTCATTACTGCCTCTGCCATGCATATACTGCTCCTTTCCCCAGAGCAGCCACAGTGGGTCATGTGTTTATTTTTCTTTAAATCCTTTTGTTCTTAAATCACTACACTTTTGCTTTCGGGATATGATGAATGATTAATACTGTAGTAGCAGCATTATTGAATTAGGAAAGTCACTGGCAGCTTCCAAAATGATTGAGACACCCAACAAATAAATACAAACCACTTCTTTAGCGCTAGATATAGTGTGACGGTGCAGAGATAAGCAGAGGCGATGCTGACGTGAGCGCTTTTAGAGCTCACGGGCAGACTCGCAGCTACTGAAATTTAAATCATAGCATAATAACAATGCAGATGCCTCAAACAATCCTGCATCGAAGTAACACAACTGCAATGAAAACAACGTCAAGGCAAACTCAGAGCTAACGTGGGCATTTGGAGGGAATTATTTTCTCTAAGTTATACGATCATAAAGAAAACAATTATTGGTGGTTTTATGGTTTGTGTGTATTTAAAGAATAGCGATTCGGAGTCGGATGCTGAAAGGTAGGTGTTCAGCACCTCCCAGGGATTAGAGCCAACAGCATGAGCAGCAACACACCAGGAAAGAAGAGAGATTATGGATTGCTGGAGTAACCCTTTGTAGTCATCACTGGAATAGGGCTGGTTTGCAGGCTGAGTTAGCCCACTGTTTGCAGTGATAGAGGAGCATATGACATGGTAAAAACCCAGTTAGATGGGAGTTTGTGTGAAACGGGAAAGCAGGATTAAGTTGTTTTCCTACATCTGTGCACTGAAAGTTCTCCTCAGGCTTCCTAATGAAGCCCATCAGGTTTATTCTGTGGCCCTGTCCCACGTGTGCTGCTTCTTCACAGCACCTTCATGGTGAGCAGAGCAGGGGGGCAGGAAAGATCAGAAACACCAGGTTCTTGGGTTAACTGGATGTGGCACCTCAATCCTGGTACCAGCCTTGAATTCCCAGGCAGCAATGGCCCTCCAGTTGCACCCCTCCATTGAATATGCCCCTGGTGTCCATTAGGAGAGCAAGGGGCTGAGAAAGCAGCGGTGCTGGCTGCCAGACCAACGCAGTGCTCCCACGCTGGGCACTCACATTAGAGCACCAGCAGTGAAGTGATGGAAGCAGAGCCCAGAGCAGCCAGCTTCCCACTGCCCTCATCAAAGTGACCATAGACACAGCAGGCATGACCGCTCAGTGGCACAAGCAGTTGCCTTTAAACCTCCTGTAAGCAGAATATGCAGAAAGGGACGGCTGAATGGGCTTCGGGACAGTGAGGAACAAGCCCTAGTATCTCCAGCTGTCTCGGTTTGTGATCTGAAGGGAGAAACCTCTGTGGATATGGTACTGCGTGTTGTTTGACAGCAGTAACAATCACAGCTTTCCTCACCTGGGGCTGGCTTCAAGTGCACTGCAAAGCCCCGTCCCTGACTAACTCTTTTCCCTGAGGCTCTGTTTAGCATTTCTACAGGTATCACGAGACTCGGTTACTTAAGCGTACTCCTGAAAATATAGGGCCACTTCATTGAGTGATACAGTGCTATACACTTTCCTGGCCTTATTTATTTTATTTATTTTTTCAACTACTTGTTCCTTGTTACAGATGGGTAGAAAAAATGGTTCCCTTGAAGGGGGAAAGATCTCACAGCTTCAGGAAGGTCCCTGTGCCTGTTATACTTCAGTGTGCTACCAAGGCCTTTCAAACAAGGCATGCTGCCAACCATATTTTCTTTTCCTGCTCAGAGCAGTAAACAGCCTGGGATTAAGTCTCACCGGAGCTGTTGGAGAACTGGGTAAAATGATTTCTCTGTAGGAACAAGAATAAAAGGCTGCTGTAGCCTGGGATCAGCTCAGTGTGTTGGAGGAGGGTGTGGTGCTTTGCTCATCTCCCCAGCTGAAGGTGTTTCACTCTGTGCAAGTAATGGCACGTCAGTCTGAGAGGAGACAGGGACTTCCACCTGCTCCTCCCAGCACGCTGAGCTAATTCCTGGACTACCAGCCCAGGCTCTTTCACTCTCTTGCCTAATGTTGTGTTGTTATGTACATGAGCTGGAGCTGTTCCAACCGGAGAAATTCTCCTTTTGAAACAGTCAGCAATGCCAAACCCACCTGGGCTGTAGGGTGCTGACTCTCACCTCCCTGGGTCAACTCAAAGGGACTACAGCCTTACATGCAGTGTGCTGTTTGGGATCTGATTATCCCACCCAGGAACTTCTGGCTGCCCTGAGACAGCAAACAAGGGTCTCTTATTTCAACCAGAAACTTACTGAACCAGTGTTCAATTTCCTGTGGAAAGTTACGGGTCTGGCAAATCAGCATTTTCTGATTAGAGGACTTTTTTTTTTAAGAAAGTTCTCAACCATTTGTGTTCCATCTCACCCTTACCTGCAGATCTTCAGTAGGTTCCTCCACCTGTACATCTTTGATTTTCTAAGTTATATATAGGAGACCACTTCGGCCTTTCCAGAGCATAAGCTGTCCTTTTATTTTCACCATGTGAAGGGTCAGCTTGTAGCTATGCTAACCAAGCTGTCACCCTAAAGAGAAGGTCTCTCTTCGTTCCCCATCACCAGGAGGAAGCAAATTACTGAAACCATGAGCAGGTGTTATACATATGCTATATCTCACCATCTGAGCGGGGGTACCTGATATAGGATGGGGAGAAAATTGGAGGTTCCTTCCATCTGATTAAGTGAATCTGAGATGTGGGCAGAGCATGGGAACTATCATGGGAAGGGGTGGTGTATGGCCCTTCCCCCTCTAAAACCACAAAATCCATAAGAGAATCGACCAAAATCTTGCCCCATAACAGACCCATCTACCTTTATTTTATTTCCTCCCTTCACATGGCAGAGCTTGTCTTTGGAAATCTCTGCTCTTCTGATGCTTGTATCAGAAAGAGGGGGATGGGGGCTGTCAGAGCAGGCAGAGCTCGGCGACATTCCCTCCTCAGGCTCACTGCTGTTTTGATGCTCCAGCTAAAGAAAATCTCCGCCGATTTTTTTTGTGCTCAGAATGAAGCTTCCCACTGCTAGCCTTGGTAGATACAGAACATCCTGACTGGGCAAGAGCTCTTTATGGATATTTCTAGTGCTCAGAGGGAGAAAAAAAAAAAAAAAAAAAAAAAAAAAAGCAACAAACTACAGCAAGTTTACAGTAATTGCTTTAATGAGGCAAAGCCCTTTAGAATGCAAACACGCTCAACAATACACAAAGAAACAATCAAAAAGAAAGTGTTTTATACAGGCTGTTTTATAAGAAGGTAATAAAAACAATTGTATGGCACACTCAGTTGCATAAACAGGCTCACCATGGAAGGTGTTTGTGTGAGAGCAGGACTATGAATACTTAATTGCTTCCATTATTCTTATTTTCAGTACAAAATACTGCAATCAAAACTTAATCTGCAGCTTGATTTTTAAATAAAAAGGTTATATTCCAGTTCCATTGTTGTAAATATAATAAAACACAGTCTTTCTGTAAATGCTCTTTCATTTCTTACTGCTTCTAAGGAGGTATAAGAGTGGTTAATATCTACATCCCTGTCAATTTTAAGTCATTTTTCAAAGGCAGGATCATTATTTCTCTTCACGTAGAAGGTAGAAGACCAAAACGTTCAAAAGGTCTTCATTAATGACGTGACTAGAAGTCATGGAAGCCTTGGTGAGATCCTTCTGTGGCTGCCAATCCTCTTTGAACCAAGCCCTATAAGCAACACAGAATTCAGGTTTATTTTCATTCACATATCTCTTCTGACAAGCCCAGAGGAACACACAGAGAAACAATATAAGGAAACGTGTTTGGGGACTTTAGTAAGTAGCAAAGTACAAAACTGAAAAAATGCCACCTGTTTTCTAGTACTTCTCAAGAGGGTAAATTAATCAGACAACAGGCTCATATGAGTTTGAATACAATCCAGTGTGTCTGGAACATTGTATTCTACATCTAGTGATTTTTATTTATTTATTTTTTTAACATGTGCTGTTACACTTCTGCTTTAGTAGCATCTAGACCAGAGTAATTTTCAAATACTTAGACATAAGAACTCTTCTTTTTTTTTTTTTTTCTCTCTGACTTTTCACTTCAGGAAGAGATACAGAACAGTCAAAAACCTGTTGTGTACATAAACTGAGTGATACGTCTGAAAAGATTTAGGAACCGAGATTTTCTTGTACGATAAAATGAGTATCTGGATTAAAAAAATATATATATTCATTAATGGCATGTGCTCTCCACACTGAGCACATTGCTGTAAAATAACAGAGTAATACCACAAAGACCAGAGTCATTCTTGTTGCAAACTGCTGTCTCTAGGAAAACAACGATGGCTTCTGTTTTAAAACTAATAGCAAAACATGACCTTAAACTTGATATTTGTTACTCAGACACATCTTACTTTACACATTTAGTTAAAAGAATCCTTGAAATTAAGAAGTACCGCTAGTAGGCCTACAATAATTTCTAGCTTAGAAATTTTCTGACTGTTGGACTTCTGTAAGTGCTACAGACCATCTGACAAATAGGAAATGTCATTTTTATTTTCATCTTTCTCATCATTATATATATCATTATGCTGTCAGGAATCAAACAGCTACCATTGCACGTTTCCAGCTCACAATTTCATCATCACACTTCACATCATCACTTTACATTATTAACACACAAAACAAGTTCACATGAAGAAAAAAAATAAATAAAAATTAGTAAGTCAGAAGTTCAGACATACAGTCCGATTTTTGGGTGGTCCTGTGCAGACCCAAGTGTTGGACATGGTGATCCTTGTGGGTCCCTTCCAACTCCAGATATTCTCTGATTCTGTGGTTCTAAGCTCTCATTCTCCCTATCCCAGGGAAAATAAGTATTTTTAATAACCTTTCAACTCACTACAGTAGAGCTACTGCCCAAGAGAACAGAAGACATGTAACTAAGCTGATGAACATTTCAAACTGCCTATGACTTGCATGTGGAATATAGCCCTTTCTATAACCAAAATTTGATCATCTCAGAAGTCTTACGGCAAGATCAGCCTTTCCAGCCACTTAAGGACACCAAGAACTCCCAGACACTGCTTGTTGACCTTTCAGCAAGGTACCTTACCCTCTTATTAGACATCAATCATGCTGGCATCCATCAATCTTTAACAATTAAAGGCAAGAGGATATACTAAAGAGGAACGCATGTATATGTATGTGAATGTATACATAAGAAGGAATTTTACATATTTATATGAAGGCATGAATGTACAGATTATAACCATATATACATAAGGAATATATATATATATATTAGGATGAATGCCTACACATATTTTAATAACAGATATATATGTGTGTATGTGCATCTGCTGGCCAAAACTGCTTTGATGATTTAAAGCAAATATCTTGATACACTGAACAGCTTTTTTTAAGCAAGGCAAATTACAATTTCTAACTTTCCAGTATGTGTATTTCCTTAGTTTCTTCATGAAAAGAACCAATTGCCAAAAAAAAATTATATGATCCTATTGATCTCATTTCTCCTAGCAAACAGTTTAATGATGGTATTCATGACTAAGATTAAAAAATAATAATAAAATAAAAATAATAATTAGATGGGTGTCTTGGTTTGGATTACATATTATGCAGAAAGATCTAGCACATTAATCAGAAGTTTTCAGAAGCAGTCCAGACCATGCTTTCCTTTTAGTGTCAAATTCTTCATGGTTCAGAAAGCAAATCTGCAATCCAAAATCCAAACATGCCAAGACGATCTATAATGTGCTGCAGAAGTGGAATTGAAAAAACAAGTCATTCAGTCCAATGAGCTAGACGGGTGTCTGGAAGCATGCTGAATGTCATCTGCTAGCAACAGCCATCAAGATCAAGGAGCCTAGCAGAGGCATATTGAAATGCTTCCAAAGTTACTCATGAGCTAACATCTGCCTACAAGGACAAGTGAAGAACAGCCAGGAACTACAGTGAGGAACTTCCAATACAGAGGTGCGATACTAACCAGCCCCCAAACTAATCAGAGAGGCTTGATGAGATGCCACAGTATGATTATCTGACTGATCCTGAATGCTTTGGTGAATGCTTTGGCTCTAAGGTCCTGATGTAAAACTTTTACTAATGCATATTTTTCATCACAATGGATTTTTCAAGTTTTCCTCTTCAATCCCTTGCCAGAGGTTGCTCATTATAGAAATCAGGCTTCAGTGAAAGTAGACCCAGATAAGCCACACACTCTAGCATTGGCCCCCTTCTCTGTGAGGAAGGTGTTTGTATTTGGAGCTCAGCTGAGTTCCTGCACTGGCCTCTTTACAACTGCAGGATATCCACCTCTGTCACAATGCTCCATTATTACTTTGGGAAGGTAATTAGCCGGGGAGGTATTACCTGGGGAGGTGTTACTTCGGAGCAGCCTGCTGTGATGCTGAATTTTTATTAAGGGCCTCAGAATGGCAATCTTCATGATTTTTCATGCACTTAGAGATTTTAGAGAGGCGGTCTTAGAGATCTTCATGCGCTAGTTTGGGCTTGGTTTCCATTGCTGGTAATATACATTAAATAGTAGATAAAATATCATTTCCTGGAGGGGAACACAAAGTCAAAACAGGGTGCCTGATTTGACACTGTGTGATATATCATCCTAATGGCTACATCTCAGACCCAGGTAAGAACTCTTCCTTACTGAAAGAGTCTGCACACTGATCAAACCTGTAGCGAGCACTTCACAAAGCATAGTGATCCAAGTCTTTGGAAGGTGTAAATGGGCACAGTACCTATGGTCAATCCCCATTTCCAACATGTAAGGCTCTAGATCTCCATTTCTGTTTTTATAATACCTGTATCAGTGAAGTTGCTTACTGAAGAAAAAAAAAAAAAATGCTTCTAAGGCTGCTTCCTTAGAAGAAATGTTGCCCAAGAGCAGCTTACATCATATGCTATCTGGAAGCTATTCTGTGAAACATTGTAATAATTGCTTTTCCTGGACACACTTATTAGTAGCAGCTAAAGTTAACAGATTGGAAGACTGCCTGAAGATGATGGATGGGTTTTCTCAGATTGTAGATTTCTGGTCATTTTCCATGGCAGCTGTAAATTTTAAAATAATATAAAATTAAGCAGTGGTAGAATAGAATTCACAAATATTACACAGCTACTGACTTGATCATTAATCATCCTAAATTAACAATAAAGTGTTATATATGATGAGTGAGATTCTGCCCTGGGGTGTATACAGAAGTTTCTCATTGATTACAAATGGGAAATGGCACGTGTATATGGACAAAGAATTTAACTAGCTGCTCGTTTGTTTTGATGGATTTATCTTTATTACTATTTAAAGGAGATGGAGACATTTCTGTTTTACAAATTCCTTTTCATACTAGTGATCCAGAAGAAAATGATCGAGAGCCGTCATCTGATTTGTAGTCAATATCCCAATATCATCCCTGCTTATTTTTGAAGTTGGAAGAGCATCAATGACCTCCAGAGTTCAGGATTCACTTGGTCTGCCTGATGTCCAACTTTGAGATTGCTGCAGTCAAAAAGGAATCTGTTAACAAACAGAGTGAAGATTTTTGTCAACTGAACAAAATATATTATTCCCTATAGGCTAAAATAGCATATTTTCCTAGACTTTGTCCTAATTTACTCTGTTTTTTTTTTAATGAAATCATATCTGTCTTCTTCAAATGACTAACTAGAGAGGAGCTGCCAGAGATATGCATGTAAAAACAAACAAGCAAAAACAAGGTCCATCTCCTTGTCCAGCAACCAAATCAGATTCAAATGAAGTCTTGCACTCAGATATAATGATTCCTCACTTTCTGAGCAGAATCTGTTATAAAATTCTGTTTTAATTACACTGTATGTAGGCATACTTATGTCATACTTGCAGTTAGTATTAATATATACTAGCTACAGGACTGAGTTTTCCAGCATTACGTAGTCTGACATTTAATGTCTTTCAGTCTCTATGTACAATACTATGGAGTAGTAACACTGAAAACAACTTATCTGAATGCCAGCTACAGAATACTGTTATCACTAGGTTGTTTTTCAGGGCCGATTTACTTCTGTTTATCTACAGGGTTTGGTAACAAATACATGTATTTTGGGGCTCTAGGTACATTAAACATACTGAATAGTCAAAGCTTGTAGAAGCTAATTTCCCTGTCATTGCATTATAGTTAAACTGGTTACGCACGTCTCATTCAATTATGTAACTTGAAGAATACCAACAACATAGGTTCCCAATTTCAATAGTACGTATGCTGGTTTTAGCACTTAACAATGGATCAGCTTTTAGCATGAGACACTACGTGCATCATACTTTGAAATTCGGAGCCACAATTTAAAATGTAATATTTTCTCTGTGTGTTGTTAAAGGCCTTTCTTTTTGTACTTTCTGGATGTATACTGTAATATTTTGCTCAAATCAAGATGAAGACTGAAAGTTAATTCACAATACATATACACAGGTAAGCATTGACACCACAAGAACCTCTACTGTTACCAGCCTAATCCAGTCGGTATTTAAGCAGGGGAAAAAATGCTTAATACAAAAATGAACTAATTGCTGTTAATGAACTAATGAAAATGAACTAATTGCTGTTTCCCCCCCACACCCCCACACCCCCCAATGTGGGGAAAGTGCCAGCTATACCATGAAGTCTTCTTTAATGTTACTTCTTTAATGATATCTATTATTGTATTAGGCTTATGTGGCAAGATTTTGGTAGCAGGGGGCTGCAGGGGTGGCTTCTGAGAGCAGAGCCCAGCAGCTGCCCAATGTTAGATCAGAGCCAGCTCCAGCCAGCTCCAAGAGGGACCTTCTGATGATCAGAGCTGACCAGAGCTGCTACAGCATCTGGGAGAGAGGAGTGAGAAGCAGCCCCGCAGACCCCCAGGTCAGTGCAGCAGGAGGGCAGGAGGTGCTCCAGGCAGGCAGCAGCAGTTCCCCTGCGGGCTGTGGAGAGGCCCCTGGTGGAGCAGGCTGTCCCCCTGCAGCCCATGGGTCCCACATGGAGCAGATCTCCATACTGCAGCCCATGGAGGAGCCCCCAGTGGAGCAGGTGGATGTGGCCTGGAGGAGGCTGCAGCCCATGGAAAGCCTCCGCAGAAGCAGGCCCCGGGCCAGAGCTGCAGCCCATGGAGAGGAGCCGACGCAGGAGCAGGGGGTGTGGGGGGAGCTGCCGCCCATGGGGGACCCGTGCTGGAGCAGTTTGCTCCCGGGGGATGGACCCCATGGTACAGAGCCATGTGGGAGCAGATCTTGAAGAGCTGCTGCCTGTGGGCAGCCGCCGCAGGATCACCCCACATGGAGCAGGGGCAGAGAGTGACCGTGAAGGAGCAACAGAGACAAAGCATCAGGGACTGACCACAGCCCCCATTCCCCGTTCCCCTGAGATGCTCAAGGGGAGGACATAGAAGAGGGTGGATAGGGGGAAGGTGTCTTTACTTCACTGTTAGTTCTCACTGCACTAGTCTGTTATTAATGAGCAATAAATCACATTAATCTCCTTTATGCTGAGTCTGTCTCAGCTGTGAAGGTAACTGGTGAGTGATTTCCCTGTCCTTATCTCAACCCATGAGCCTTTTTTCATCATATTTTCTCCCCCTGTTCAGTTGAGGAATGGGAGTGAGAGAGCATGGTGGAGCTGAGCTGCCCATCGGTGTGAAACCACCACAACTCTATGTGGGAGTCACTCTGATACTGCAGTGGTATATAAGGAAAAAGGAGAAAGGAAGGGTTAAATTAATATCCACAGAAACTGACATACTATTATGATTTTAGCATTGTGCAATAGAAATAAAGCACATATCAAATGGATTAAAAACTAGCTGACAGATCTCAAAAAAACTAAGCATCAGCTGGGATTTGAGACTGTCTGAATGTTCCCAATGTTCCCTTGGGCTCTGTACAAGGCCTAATATTCTTTAGCAACTTCACCAATGGTCATGTAAACATATCCCTGAATACAATCTGTGAATGACACAAGTTTGGCAGGATAGCATACAGTGATGAAGACTGGGCAGTCAAACAGAAATCAGGAATGGTACAGGAAGGAGACAGAAAAATATTCAAAGGATAATTCCTTGCAGTAAAAATGATAAATAAATACATACATACATACATACATAAGAGTTTCTTCTGGTTTTGTTTGTTTGTTTTGTTTTGTTTTATCATAAAGAAGATGGGGAGAGGTGAGTTGTATATATAAGTAACTCACAGGGGGAAACACCAAAGAAAGACTCTTCCATCTAGCCAAATAACCAGGGGCTGGAAACTTAAGCCAGATACACCAAAATTGAAACTAAGGTGCCTTTTTTATAATAAAAGAGCTTATATTTTGGAAAACATTTTCCACAGATATGCCAGATACACTGTATGATCTCTTAAAAACACGAGGAAGAAATGCTTTAGCCAAAAACGGTTGTTTTGTTGTTGTTGTTTTAATATAAGAATAACAGGAGATAGTGTAAAGACATCTAGACAGACAAGTTGATCATATTCTGTGTGTATGGTTTTACACAAATTTACCAGAGTCAACATTTCCACATCTGTATTTGGTATAAAGAATGGAAAAATATCAGAATTTCTTTCCTATCCGTCTATGTAAGAATTCAAGCAAAATTCTGCAAGCTTATTTTACGTTTGAATTCTAGCCTTTATTTGTTTCTTAACTCATGTTCAGTTACTTAAGCACTGTCTTCTAAGGAGGCAGGTTATCGTTGTTTAGTCTTACTTTAAGGAATTTTATAAAAGAAAAGTTTATGAGACATTTAGAATGTGTAACAAAGTCTACAACACAAATTGTCATGCAACATGGCAAGTTGCTAGAGAGAATAGCCCTTATTTGTTAGCTACAAACCTGAGGTAAAATAGAGGGAAGAAATGCAACTAATCTTAGTTTAGCAGATATTAATAGACTAATCATGAAAATTCTACAACCACGTATTTTCTGAAACGCATGATGACATTAAATTGTGCCTGTGTTAATTTTAAAATAGTTAGAACTTCAGATATTTTCTGCTTCTATCAAATAACAATAATTAAGAACTGTTAGCATCCTCCCCTCTCTTCCACGTTGTAGTATATTATATCTCCCAGAAACTTGCTGAGCCAGCTACATTAGCAGCAACAGAGAGTAAATCCATTCAAAACAATGTGACTAAAAGCAGATTCTGTGTGTTTGCTTTTGCGTGACTCGAACAAAAGGTCCCACTGCTGCTTTTACAGCTAGATAGCATTTTATAATGCATTCTGAAATTTTGGGAAAGTCAGATTACAATGTTTGTTTAATAATCAGACCCTCTATTGTTCAGATGTAAGGTCACTGCAATGTCCAATCTGTGAAAACTTCAGTTTTTCTTTAGATATTAAAAAACAAACAAACAACAATATCAAAAAAATGACACTGAAATAATCCAAAAAGAGCTCAGGCTGCAGGAAAGAAGTCTGAAAAACAAACACTGTTAAAGCTTGGTCAGACACGATTATGTGGCTGACAATTACATATGATAACAATTAAAATGATCTGATTCCAACCACATGGCATCTTAATACAGCAAATCTCCAAGCAAATAACGTGTCACATAATAGGTTTTGATTGATGTTGTCAGCAGCCTTTTGAATGTTACAGATACCTTCCCATCAATGCCTCAGAAATCAGTGGAGACTACTGACCTCATCCTAAACTGAAAGTATTTGCATGTACCTAAATGATGTTTCTGGCTTTAACTGTTCACTAACCTAAAATTCTTGGCTTGCTGGATGATTTGATACATGCATACATGGTGTCCAGCTGCTTACTTCCAGTTGCAAATAACTCAGCTAATATACGCATTAGTGGTTTTAGCAAAAACCCTCGATGTTTTCTGAGAGGTCTTTAAGTTACCTGCCAGTATAGCTCTGCTCGGGTAAGTCTGATTACAAGCCAGCTGAAGCACTCCAAACAATTGCTGAAGTCCATGTGTTGGTTGGCAAAGGGGATCTAACCAGAAAGCATAAGGAGCTGCCAAGGAGCTGCCACTGAGCAGCATGAGCCTACTCTACTGCCGACTTTAATTTGCGTTAAAAAAATAGGGATGAGTTAATGATTGCTAAACCAACAAATCATCCTCCTATTGGAGGAGCCCCAGAGGACATTCTGTCTCCAGTGGTGATATAACCAGTAAGCAAACACATTGTCACATTGCCTAGAATGGGCATACAAAAAGCAGAGGGGATCTGACCAGGAATTTGGAGTATTTTCATGGTGCCAGTCTCCACACATGTTCTTGGCTTGGCCTCCTGCTCCTTATTTTCCTCTAGACCAGCATGAGGGCACAGCCCAAAAGCTACTCTTCAGATCTGTGATGCAAGTTTTATTGTTTCCTTCTGTATACTGTTAAGTAGGAAGAGAAACATAATGTCTTAAAAACGAATTGAGGAATAATACCATACATTTGTTAGAAGGATAGTTTTTGCTACCATTGTTGTTAAAAAAAAAAAAAAAAGTTTTGTGTTTTGGCATCTAAGTCATGATTGCAACATCTCAGCTGGAAAAA